AAAAAAAAAAAAAAACAGGTATTGTTGGAAATTTAATGTCAGTATATTGTAAAAATTGTGGGTTTTGTAAACACTGCCAAACCTATAAAAATATTCAATAATGTCATAATGATTTAATAAATGAGGAAAGAAACATAGAGATGCACTTTGAAATTACTATATCACTCTAAAAGTGCCTAATAAAGCTAAAAACAGTTGTCAAATAGACAAAAATACTTGTTATTTATAACCAATGTGGCAAATACTTTCATTTTTTATATCAAAGGAAAGTCGTAGATATTAAAATGATTTTATCATGACATATTTATTTATTCTTTTATAGGAATGTCTGAGATAATGGGAAGATGATGCCACAACTAATTAAATTATGCACATATTACAAGAATATTTCAGAAAAAAAGGAATAACGTTTTAAACTTATAGCTTTAAACAACAACAACAATAAAGAGGGAGTCTTGCAAGCTTGACTCTTGAATATAATTGTTTAGACAATGTTTCTCTCCATGTAGACCAAAATATGATGTTTGTACAAATAAGAAAGTAAGTCATCAGAACAATAGAAAACAAATCAAAGTGTTAGGGGGCATGTCCAAAAGATATGACATGTATGATAGTTTTTAATCTCAATTTCTTCATGCATGCCCTTAAAATTTTTTCTTAATTGATAATACGGGATTGTGTTAATTGGACATATATATATATAGTGTGTGTGTGTGTGTTTAAAAAGCTGTACATTCATTGTGAAAACATATTTATCTATAGAAAAGTCACCAATACTCTTCTCCACAAAATTTTTCCTGAAATAAACCTTTCAATTTGATAAGAATGTCATCTTACATACCAAGTTACACCCCTATACTTGATCTATTACTGTAATTCTATGGGCAATATCCTTTTTCTAAAGGAAAATATAGAGTAACTTGAAGCTCATAGAAGATGAAATCTACAGTACAAACAAAAGCATGATAACTTGGAAATAGAATGATCACTATATTTTTCATTCTTTAGATTTTTATAGCTATGTCTGAAGTTATCACTTGAGGTGCATGAAAGAAGTGGAATCTCTAACTATGACCTGCTCAGGTCAGTGCAGTTCACCACACCTCATAGGAGGGTATATCCCTCCCTTTCCTTTCACAAAAACATTCCCTGCCTTCCTTCAATAACCTACATAGCCCCCAAATGGCTAAGAAGGGAACCATTCGTAATACCAAAACAACACAAACTACTAAACCTGATCACTTTCTAGCATAGGTAGCACACATTTAGTAGGTTACAAAGTGTAAGAAAATGGACATATAAAATAACATAAACCCAAACTGATCCAGACCAATCCAACCCATTCGGCCCAACAAATATAAAAATAGGGATACACGCTCAAATGGGGACCCAAAACCTAAGGAAACCCAAATTCTCTTCTCTCTAGTCTCTACAACCACCATTGCCTTGAACTTTCGGAGGCTTGACCACCACCTCTTCAGAGTTGATCCTCTTACACAAACAAATACACTTTTGCTTGGCTTCAAACCCACCTCACCCTCACCCCTCAACAAAACATGCACACAAAAAGTGAAGAACATTGTATTCAATTAACATATCCTATACATTTTTTTGAATTGTAATATAAAGTATTTCATTAAATCAAAAAGCCAACAAAGAACCCCTGTACATTAGGTTTATGAAAACTTATTTTCACTTTTTTGTTCCTTTTTTCCCTTTTTCCTCTGTGCTTAATACATCATGCTTTATTCTTTAACAAACACAGTTCCTCCATAGTTGGTTAACCTTGGCCACCTAATTTGAATAAGGAGATGAAGGATCTAGAGACATTAAAAAGGAGCAACACTTCTATTTTTTGCCATTTGCTTAACTGTAAATAAGAATAGATTGTAAGTAGGAGGATACTAATATCATGAAGCATGGAACAAACTAAACAAAAGATACTTCGGCACATACAAAGAGGTTTACTTAGACATGAGCTGTAAAAAGCATAGGGGAAAATAATGATGAAACTATTTTTATTATAGTGATATTCCTGTTACTGCAGTAAAAGTCAATCACTTATGTATAAATAAAGCATTTTCTTCTCAAAACCACTCTTTTATGCTTAATGAAATATTAAATTTTTCTTCTCAAAATCTAGAATAAGTTTTCAGAACTCCAGTCCTCCTCGGAATGGTTGTGGCTGGATGTGGTTTATCGGATTCAGGAATTTGATAATCAGGTTACACATGCTTGTAGATGAAACAACAAAGGTGGTGGAGATAATCTAGTGGTACTCGAGCTGCAACATTGAGAGGGAACTAGATAATTAAAGAGTTAAAACCAACAGCTTTCTTGATAAATTGGACTATGTAGTTTTCCATAGTTTTTTACTGTCTGTAGGGACTCCAGGAGTTTCCAATCATATGCNATAAATTGGACTATGTAGTTTTCCATAGTTTTTTACTGTCTGTAGGGACTCCAGGAGTTTCCAATCATATGCTAAACTGACACTCTCAAAGTTAACATATTCAGTTCAAGGACCATACTGTTAAAGGGATATGTACATAACGCAAATTGAATAAGAACCTAGACGGCTAGACCTGGAACATATTTGCGCCGATCTAAGGATTTGACAGTTCTGTCTTCAACTCTTTAAGTCTTTATACGTCCTTTAATGTGATTCCAATTTAAAATAAAGTATAACAAAGCAAAGCCCGGACGAACTCTGTTTTCTTCAACTCTGCCCAACCAAAATGCTCCCTATGTTTGTATGACCATAAAAGTTTTCGCGTTGAAAGCTCTTTTTTTTATTCTAAATTCATCCCTATACCAATCTCCAACGATAAGTATAGTCTCAAGGAGCGAAAAAGAGAAAGGCGTCTTCAAGAGTATATGCAGAGTTGCAGACAACATTAAAAAAAAGTGCACTGATCAAGATTACAACCTTATAAATGTTCTAAAACAAAAATGAGACCTAGAATATTCGAACCTACAAAACAACGGAGGCAATCGACATCCCCAGAGGAAGCGCCAGTGCATCGAAATAGTTCTCATCGCGCCGACTACATCGAATAAATGCTTGAGGAGTTCAGCTTTTAATTGTGATGCGCAAGCCTTTCTGTTGGGATGAAAAAGAAGATAGAGAAAAAGAAGAACTAGAGAAATGTCTCGATTCCTTCTTCTTCCTGACAATTTGTCCGCCATTATCGATGCTCGAGTTCCGACGAGGAGGCGAGGGGAGTTCCGGGTTTGCATTGGCTGGGGATAAATCAACTGTCCGATTCGAGTGACAAGCAGTCGACTCGACGGTAAGCAGTGAAACCAGCACGATTGGAACCAAGCGCTTGCGAAGGAGACGAAGACGAAGACGATTGGAACCAAGCCTACCTCTACAGGAAACGAAGAGTTGACTTTTTGAAATTTGTTACTTAAACTACCGCTATAGGAAAATTGTCCGATTAGTACCCTGTAATTGGGGTTGGGCCTACTGCCACTTTGGTGTCTCAACTTGGCTGTGTATGGTTTGAAGGAAAAGTAGGGAAAGGAAAGAAAATGTAGGAAATCTTTACAAATCTTGTATGGGTTTTCCTACCTTTCCTTTTTTTTCTTTACCTTTTCCTTCAAACCAAATATAGCCTAAAATTCGTCGATTCAATATTTGAACTTTCAAAACGTGTTAATTTAGTATTTTTCATCAATCAGCCCGTTAATCAGTCATTAAATAGCATTTAAAAAGATAAAAATGCCCTTTGAGTGTCATCTAATTCTCTTTATCAACCATCCAAAATATTGATAAAAAATAAACAGTTCCAAATCCTTTTCTCTTCTATTCAAAAAAGTTGGGATCACGACTCATGCATTAGTGGTTATTCTGGTGATCCCAACTTTCTTGAATAGAAGAGGCAATGATTTGGGACAATTCATTTTTTTATCAATGTTTGGATCAAGGTTTTAAAAACCGATCCGAAAAAAAAAAAAAAAAACAACTTTGACCACCAATTTCTAGGTTAACGGGTTTAACGATTTGGGCAAGTTGATTTATTTGACCTATTAGGGTAAGAGGATGATGCATATATTTCATTACTCATTTTATGAGAAAAGAGAGAAGTTGTTGTTGGTCGGGAAAGGAAAGAAAAGAAAGAAGGAAAAGGGAAGAAAGAAAATGAGGAAGGAAGGATGAAGAGGAGTTGGTGGTTGTTCACCGGCAATGGTAACAAAGTAGCGGTAATGGCGATGATGGTACCAAATAGCGGCGACGGCGGTGGCAATGACGTTAACAGACCAATAGCGGTGCAAATCTCTCTCTCTCTCTCTCTCTCTCTCTCAGTAGTGATATCAGATCTGAAATCTCATATCTGAGATCTAATTTCAATCCCTCCCCAATCTCTCGATCCCCTCTCAGTACATGCTCCCTTAAAAAATTAAATAACAAATATTTTATAAGACCATGAGCTGATATTTGGGTCGAACAGTTTAACGGTTTGATCGCCCAAGTTAGTGGTTTTCTAACTAATTCAATGGTTTGTTTAGAAAAAAGCAGTCCACTTGAAAACTGGACCCAAAAGTATGATCATTCTTGGGTTAAACGGTTCAACCGCCTAGTCTGCTCCGGTTTTCAAAACAACGGTTTGGATAGTTGATAAAGGAAATTAGATGACACTCAAAGGGCATTTGTGTCCTTTTCAAATGCCACTTAATGACTAGTTAATAGCAGGTACTAATCGGGAATTTTTCCTTTATTTTCTAGAAAATGGAAAATAAATTACCCTATTGTTTCAATAATTATTTAAAGAATTCTTAAGTTTTTTGACAATTATAAAATCATTCCATGTTGTTCAATGCTCTTCCAATATAATGTGATTTATATAATTTTTCTTAATTCCAAAATTATCCTTTGCGATCAATTTTGCCCGTTATTGTTCTTCAAATTTTCAAAATAAAACCGAAGGACAATGATAAAGAACCTTACACTAGATGAAATGAGAGAAATTAATATAGAAAAAGAGAAATTCCATCCTATATATTCAGGTTGGAACAAAGTAAGGCCTCTTAAAGAATATCGTCCAAAGGATTCTATGTTTAAAATATTTAGAAAAGGTCCAAACCCCAAGGGGGGGGACCCATGTATTTCCCTATCCCTATCTTCTCCTATTTAAAACCTCTAACACCGTTAAGAGAAAATAAACACATGTAGTGTGGGCCGTGCTGTTCTGGCATGGCACGGATTGAAGGCAGCCCGGACACCACCCTCTCGAGTTCAAATCAGCCCCCCACAACATCCCACAGCACATCCCTGCCGTGTATTGGGAACATCTCCCGATGATGATATTATTATTTTTTATATCATCATCGGGAGATGCTCTCAATACATGGCGGGGATGTACTGTGGGACGTTGTGGGGGACAATCTTGTGGGAGGCTGATTTGATCTCCACCCTCTCGCTGTTGATGCTACTTAACATGTGAAAGTCTAAAGGTATTTGAAACTTTTCATAGTTCATGTAGTAAAGTAATACACCTCCCATATTTGTGGGGGGTTTGGAGTTTACCCTAAACAAGGAAGAAGGGATTCATGTCTTCGCAACCAGGCCGAAACTCTAGAAAAGGATAAAAGCAAACCTTGTTACCAAGTGAGTAGCAATGTTGGTATGAATCCCATTATTTAGGTGGTGTTTGGCACAATGGTATTGTGTTGTTGTTTCATTTTGGGCTGATTAATACAAATTTGTGAGAAATACGTATTGCCACATTATATATAATTGTCATTTCAAGTAAAGAAATGCATGTGCTTGAGAAAACATAATATTAGATGTTTTAGAATAAAAATAGCAATTTATATTGATAAACTCGAACGTTTTCAAAACATCTCTCAATTTTGTATTGATCAACCCAAATCAACGTAAACACAACACCACTATACCAAATACATCTCCTTAAGATAATATCGGGTTGTTATTTATAAATAAAATCTGATTTGATCTTTTAAATCAAATAAAAAACCTAATCTACATGTTTAACTTTGTGTTTTCAACCTAGCGTTCACTTGATCGATTTAACTGTTAGAATAGTCACTCCTATCTTTGGTTTTGGTCCTCTTAAAACCTGACATTTGATAAAAATGTTAATCTGATAAAAAATTGTCCACCTTGGGCAGTTGAACCATTGACCCATTCAACAAAATCAAAAGTTGCATACTTAATGTATGTGCAAATTTTCAGAGGTCATAATTTTGCACTTAGCTGTCCAATTAAGGTGATTTTTTTTGGGGGGTAACTTTTCTAGATCCATGCATTGCAAGGTGCCAAAGCCCTACTTATTCCCCCAAAAAACCACTTATTTGGTCTCAAATTGTAATTTTTAATATTTTTATAAATAAAAAGTTAAATAAATTAAAAAATATAACTTAAACATAAAATAATATTTATATGTACATATACTACATCTACAAAATATTTGTATTTTTTATTGATAAAATACAAGTTTATACACATACATACATATATACATGCATACATGTTTTGTTAATGTGTTATGGTCTGACCAATTCGACCCAAACGGTCGAACCGATGACCTACAACCTAGACGCAAGAACAATTTGGCCTTGATGCTGGTTTTTAAAACATTGGTTTTAGTTTAACACTAACGGGGACCCGTGCAAATGCACAGGATTGTTTTATACATGTGTTTTAAGCAAAAGCTAAACTATAAAAACACATAAGAGTATACAATTGTTTTATATTTTTAACTTTTAAAATAATTAATAATTATTTATATTTTATATACTACTTTTAATAATTTTTTACAATACAAAAATAACAATTAATAACTAATTTTAGTTAGCTAGGGCTGTTCATCAAACTGATGAAACAGACTAACCCAACCAACTCGACCCGAGTTGGTCAGTTTTCTAGTATTTCCAATTGGCTTTGGTTCAACAACTTTCCAACCCAACCAGGTTGGATTAATTTCACTTTTCCTACTTCTAAATCGACCAAAATCAAATGACCTAACCATAGATATATTAATATTTTATATTTTTTATATAATTTTTTAAAACAGAAAAGTGGAAAAATTCCCATATTTCTTACTCTAAAATATTTTAATCATAAACTTAATTTTTAAATTATTTCACTATAATTTTTTAAAATTTAAGTTTATTTTTTAAGTTTAAATCTTTTGAACCGACCGACCAAATCGATACAACTCGAGTTGGTTGATTTTCATTAATGGTCAGTTGGTTTCAGGTGACCAACTCCCTAACCTAACCAGGTTGGTTTGGTCGGCCAAACATCCTACAACCGAGCAGAACTAACTCATGAGCACTCCTAATTTTAGCTAAATTAATAGTCTAATCTCTAATAAATAATAATAGTTTAATCGCCAATAATTATTGAAAATTTATAGCAAAAATACACAATTATTAAAAGTATCTTGATAATAAAAATACAATAAATACTAAAAAATATATTAAATTAGTCAATAAATAGTTTATTCTCAAATAAATATTAATCAATAAATTATAACAAAGATACAATAAGTACAATAAATTAAATTTAAAAACTTAAATAATAGTAGTTTAATCTCCAATAATTAGTGAAAATGTTCTACTAAATAATAAAACAAAAATAAATTTGTACATAATTATTGAAAATATATTTATCACAAAAACAATAAATAATTACTAAAAATACAAAAAATATTAAGTTTAGTATAGATAAATATATATATTAAGATTTTAAAAATATTATTAATAAATATTATTTTTTCAAAGTTTCTTTCTAGAATTATTAATTGAATAAGTGAAATTAGTTATTTAAATATTATTTATTTAAATAATATCATTATTTATATTTTAAATATTAATTATTTATTGAATTTAATAATCTGTAAAATTGTAATTTATGCTAATATTACATAATTTCGTTATTAATTTTGTAAAATATTTCATTATTATTAATTTGAATATTATGTTCTAGCTATTTTTCTAGTTTTAAGATTTTTTATAAATTCATTACATAATTTCATTATTTTAACTATTTAAAATCTAGTTATGTTAAATATTTCATTAGTTAACATATTTAGTTATTTATATATTTAAATAATATATAAAATATTTAAAACTTTTTGTTGTTTGAATTTTATTTATTTTAAAGTTATTACATAATATTATATATTTTGTTTAAATAATTATTTAGTTATTTTTATGTTATTTAAGATATTTAGCTATTGAAATATTTAAATAATATTTTATTGTTAAATGTTAAATTTTTATATTTAAACAACATTTGAATTGAATAATCTGGAAAACCATAATATATATTGTTAGTACATAATTTCGTGATGAATTTTGTAAAAATATAAAATTATTAATGATATGAATATTATTAAATATATTATAATTATTTTTTTGTATTCTTAATAAATATTTTAAAGTTATTATATAATTTTTTAGAATATTTAATTAATTTTTAATTCAAACTTTAAATAGATATGGATAAAAAGTGGGGGAGAGGATAAATAGGAATTAGAGATAATTTAGGTTGCGTTTGGAAACGATGCAAATAAGTGTGAATGCAAATATGTAGAGTGTAAAACAGTTCATATAAATTGCAAAGTTGGGTTAGTTTTGCACTGACAAATTTACCTTCTTACCAAACAGACTTTTAGCTGTAATGGATGCGAACATGAATTCCAATAAAGTATATGTTTTTTGTTTTATCAAAAGCCCATTTTAATGCAAATTTACTCCTTTTTTATTGATGTACTTTTACATCTTATTATCAATGTAAATATACATTGGATTGTCATTTGTCAATGCATAAATGTAATGTTGCCAAACATAGGCAAAAGTAAACCAGAGTGCAAATTTACCCTAAATAGGGATTTACACTCCATTTGCATCATTTCCAAACGCAACCTTATAAGAAAGTGGGGGAGGTAGTTTAGGAGAAATTTTAGGAGATGATATTATTCAGATTATTGGGAACGTGCATGCGTGGAATAAAAAAATAAAAATTCAAAAAAGGAAAAAAATTCTAGACTGTTGTGTTTTAGTGTGTGTGTGTGTATAGAGAGAGAGAGAGAGAGAGAAAGAGATAATTGGTTAGAGTCTAACATAGATAGTGGGTCCCAAATAAAATGAATATATAGGAGTAGTTTTCCCCGTACTCAACACAATCTGGTCAATAGAACAAAGCTGGAACAGCCCAAATTAAACTATTCAAGAAAAGTCACTTATGCTAGTGCAATGTAAGTTCTTTAAATCCAGCATCCAACTTGCACCCAATACCTGATGAGTTGGATCAATATAACCTTACTCCCACTCTCCAAAGGTGTGCTGATGTATAAAGACCCGCAATCCTTCCATGAAGCACAACTTATACTGAGAATTACAATCCAAGAGTTTTCAACATTGAAGAAAAAAATATAGTTCCACAATGTATGTATTTGGCACCGCGGGTGTTTATTAACTAAACATTTTGTACTTGATTTGTTTGAAAAATCGAGAAAAGCAATGATGAACCCATTTATTGACACTTAGGCGCTATTAGATGCCACATCAGCAAAATAGTGAATAAATGACTACCCATTTGGGGAAGCGCTAAATTGAAGCTTTTCCCAATAATAGGCACGCACATAAACCAAAGTCTACTTTTGCAAGTCCCTATGCGTATGGATTCATATAATGGGGGAAATGTTGAAGTGGTGCCTATGTGGCAGCGTTTTTTCAATAAACACCCACAATTCCAAACACATACAACATTGTTAGTGAAAAAACTTGTATACAATATTTTAAACCTTATATTTTGAACTATACATATTACTATATTTTTAAACCTTTTATTTGTATCGTCCATCTTTGCTTTTCTAAATTTTACAAGTGTGCATGTACTTTGTATGTGAGAAATTTTGATGATGATGATGATGATAGTAAATTATATGTTTTCAAAATTTTCTAGAATTTTATTTTTATTAAGCACACTTGGTTTTGTTTAATATGATAAATATGTGCCTAAATGTCTTTTACTTTTTTTTTGTATTGTTTATACTTTTGTTTGTTTTCATCCTTTTTAATTTGTATTATTATTTAATTATGACATCAAGGGCTTACACATTTAACCTAAAAGGTTGAATTGCTGACTCGCTACCAAATAGGGAAACAACTCCATTTTGGGCTGATTTTAAATTTGTATTTTATTTCTATCATCAATAAAACAATTATTCTTTGGTACACTTATTTTTCTTTTTTAATATGGTCAATTAATATAAAAAAAAATAAAAAATGGGAGTTAATACCCTAAATATAAGACTTAATGAGAGGGAATTGAATGAGGAAAAATGTAGTAGTTAAAATTACATTTTATGCCCTCATAATTGGAGAGACCAAATTCAAAAATAGGGGTATTCTACTTAAGTATAGAATTCAATTAATGTTATTGGGAATTATTATGTACCTTAAATATAAGACTTAATGATAAGGATTCAAATGAGAAAGAATGGTTACTCAAATTACATTTTAGTCCTTGCAATGAGATAGGGTGCAAATTAAAAAATTGGGGTATTTTAGGCGGTGTTTGGCATCAATGCTGTTTTCTAAGAAAACGATGCCACATCAATGCCATGTTAGAAAAAATGATGCTTAAAAAAATGGTTATAAAGCATTGGTACCAAACAAAACCAGTGTTGTTATCCCATAAAACAGCCTATGTGGTAGCATCAATGCCAAACAAAAAAAGGAGCCACTTTCTAAGAAAACGGTGCAACAGACCCTCTTGCATACAACACTGTTTTCTCATAAACATCTTTGAAGCAACAACATTGATGCCAAACACCTACTTAATCAAACAAAACATTTCACTTCCATTCACACTTTTAATAATAGTATAGATGCGGTCTTAAAGTTTCTATTAATAAATGTTGTTCATCTGGTTTATTATCTCAATTAAAGCTTTTTTATTAAAATATAAATTTGCCCTCATATTATCTCAAGATCAAAGGGTAAATTCTATCCAATAAGAATAAGACCCATTCACACTTTTATAAATAATATAGATATAAATATAATATATAGACTGCAAATACAAATATTGTATAAATATAATATATGGACTGCAAATAAAAATCCATACAGTGCAAAATCAAGATTTAAAAATATTGTATACAAGTTTATGCATCAAACATATTTGTATTTAATTTGCATTCCTCCTAAACCGAGTCCAAGGGATTTTACTTTGTTTTCTCTTAAGGGCCTGGATGGGTCCATAATAGGAAAAAAAAAAAAAATTCCCAGACCAGCCTGGCCCAGGTCCTGACGAGTTGCTAGTTTACCAGTTTACCACTACTTCGTTCTTTGTTCCATTAATTTCCCTGGCCAAAAGGCCCAAAACCCATATAATTGCAATGCCATACTACTAATATAATCTGAAGATAAACGCCTACTATCTCATAGAAATCCCTACAAATCCCACCATCGCTACTTTCCCTGTAAACGTCTAAACCAGAACTGATAAATGCAGTTTGAAACATGTACAGAATAGCAAGTAAACGCTTGATCTCACCCAGCTGGGCTCCTTTAGTAGTCCTCTCTTTCTTTTCATTTTTCTTCTTCTAAGAAACACAGAGAGACGAAGAATGTCGCAATAGAAAACAGTAGCAGAATTACAAGATACACACAAAGTATTGAAACATCAATTAATTAATACCCACATATCGACTAATATGTCGAAACATATGCAGTTCCGGCTATGAAAATCTCCATATATTATATTCCACCAAGTTACAGAATGGAGAAAAATGAAGAGAACCCTTAATTTAAATCACCCCTACTCAACCCCACGATGATTTTACTCTATCTACCTCCAAATTTTCCTAGATTTTACCAGTGTAGAGAGTACCCATCCTCGAGTTGTCTCCATAGTCAACCATTCTCCCTTCATCTCCGTAGTTCTTCGCAGCTACTTGAGCCCCCAGCGAATAAAACCCGCCATTAAAACTCTGGAAGGTCGCCCTGCTTGCCATCGGATCAGTAACGACCTTGTCAAGTACAGTAACAGCATAATTATTATTGCTGCAGGTATTCGCCGTCTCCTCAGTTGGGGATTGATCTCCTTGTCTAAGCATGGAATTCTTCTCTCCTTCGATCTCCCGATACTTGTTAAGATAAATCTTCAGAGGCCCGACATAGTTCTCGAACCCCAGAGTTGTCATGGCCCATAAGAGATCGTCACCGTTTATAGTCTTTCTCTTCTCTCTCTGGCACTTGTCCGAGGCTTCGCCGGTGATAAAGCTGATGAACTCCGACACACATTCTTGCACGGTCTCTTTCGCTTCCTTCGATATCTTTGCGTTGGCTGGGAGCGATTTTTTCATGATACGGCTCACGTTGGCTATGGGGAGGAATCGGTCTTGCTCTTTAGAGGAGCTATCCGATGCATTCTCAGTCATGGCTGCAGACTCAGACCCAGATAGTTGGCTCTTGACTGGGCTATTTTGCTGTTGTATTCCTTAATTTCATAGAGGAGAAGGATTTTATAGAAGAAGAAGATAAACAAGAGGAAGGAGATAGAAACAGGGAGATGGGGAATCAGATAATCTGATAGGAGAAAGAGAGAAAAAAGAAGCGGAAGTCGGTCTGATGTGGACGGAAAAAAGAAAGCTCACTTGTTAATAAGAACCATTGCAAATGAGATTGTAAGAGGCATAGAATATTGGAGGAAAAAGTGAAGATATGTAAGTGTGTCTAAATAATCCTGTGCATGACCATCCAAACTAGAATCTAGACTCAATTGCATCGGCCATATACTTGTCTGAATCAACTCAGTTTGTGGGTGGGTTCCATTGACTCACAACTTTAAGAACTGGATGGTAAATGGGTAATGCCCGCATATCCAAGTTTTGAATTAACTAATTACAGATTTAGAGGAGCCTTAAAATGTGATCGAGCAAGGCATAATATGAAACGTCCAAAAGAGTTCACTTCATTAACTCTTCTCAATCCCATAGGCCAAGTCAATGAATAAAACTTTCGCCATTTGGCTAGATGAGAGATAGACTCTAGGGATCACTTGAGTAGATGGGGACTACTCTGAATGATATTCATCCAGGATTCAATGTGAGTCTAGTCCTTTGAGCGAGTGAAGTCAATTGCCTTCATTTCATGTGTTGTCAAGTTACAGTAGTTGAAGTATTATTTTACTCATGAGTTGTAGACTTCTGGGGTGTGAACTGAAGGAAGAAGAAACACTTCCCCAGAATTAATCAGATGTATTCAGGGAACCCGACTCGGCACTGGATTGGTGGGTTCCAACTAGCTATCAACCATCCATGGAAGCTGGTTCATTATCTCCTGCTAGGAGCCAACCCCCAAAGCAGGTACTCCCTAGCTAGTCTCTATCTCTTTTGTTATATTTGATTTTCTAGGGTTTTTAGTAGGGTTTTGATCTAATCAACCTTTGCATTATTTTTTACCCTTTGACAAGGTATCTTGAATGGCCAAAGGAAGGAAGAAAAAAGGTGGTGGCACATATGCCTATTATCCTGTCATCTTGCTTGCTGTGTGTCCAGGATTCTTCTTGTCACATCCATGGATATTTGAAGACAAAAAAGTATCACAAGTCCATGGTTTACCTTCATTCACAATCAAATATCATTCTTAAGGTGAAAGTGAACCAGATTTAAAAATAAAACCTCAAGGAACATTTCAAAGAAGTGTATACAGTGACAGATGTGTCTTCACTTGGAACTACCCTAACCCACATCATATCACAAAGTACAAATATACTTTATATGTTTAAATATGTATTTATTTTTTTACTTGGTCTACCCTAATAAAATAGATGCTAAAGTCTCAATTTGTAAGCTAAGACTATTTTTATTAAATGGGTTTTCCTCCCATCACTCATGAAATTTGATACTTCAAAAAAAGAAGGAAAAAAAAAAAGAAAATGCTGTTGATTGATGAATTGGGTTTTGAAAATGGATAGAAGCCTCTAGGTCAAGCATAAAATTTTTCTCTTTTGGGGTGGTGGAGGGATGATCTTTCTTGAACAGACATGCTTAGCTATATAACATGTAATTGAGACAGGATGTGGCCTGTCGAATATAGATATGTAGAGGTGGATCCAAATGAAAAAAGATTGCTCACCTGGGACAAGCGCAGGCTAAGCCTACTACAGTCACATGATACGATGGAAATGGCTTTTTCCTTTCTTCCATTCTCTCACTATCATCTGAAACTTAAAAAGTAAAATAAGAGTTCTCTGCAAACTAGAAACTGTACTGTAGAAGATTCTTTTTTAGTAACTTTCTTACTAGTGTACATGTACATTTTTTTTATATGTATGTAATATAAGCTATTGGAATTTATTCTTTTAAATGTTCTTTATTTGTATAAAGGAAAGTACTTGTACGCCTAAATAGTGTTCTATCTTAAGGGATGGAATTTCTTGTCTTGAACTTCTGAACCTGTTTGATAATTGGGTATTTGGGTCAAGGTCGATTTAGGATCTTTGCTCATTGAAAAACTGGCTGATCACTCATGATTGACCCATTTTCAAGTTCTGCCTAGAACCCTTAAATTAGACCAACACTGGATCAGATTTGGTTGAATGTTTCTGATATAACCAAATTACGAACGCACATAATTTGGTTATCTTATCATCATCTGAGTCATGCTCGAACTATATGGAGTCAGTTATATGAATTTTGTTTCACCATTCTATAATTGTTTAAGACAAACTCATAGTGATAGAATTACCAACATAACTTGTCAATAAAATTATAGTTGTTGAAGCATGAGAGAGATGGTTTAACAAATTCATGGGCAAATCACCATCAACGAGTAAATGAATTTAACCAAGGGAAAATGTTTAGAAGATCTCCCTGTCGGCTCATTAGGTAGCCTTGTTACAATCATGCATGCAACATTTTTGGATTGCTTCTTTGAACCATTTTGCATATAAAGGGACTGAATATCTGTTTACCAGTTCTTTTCTAGTTTTCTTTCAATGAAAAAAAATAAAATACATAATCTTCCATTAAGGCAAGTCCACAAGTAACTGTCTCTCCATAATTGTCATGTGAGATGCCCTTCTCCATGTCCACAATATGCACTTTTTTCTTCAAAAGAGTAGTAGAAGGAGATTCAATATATATATACACACTAGTAATTAAGCACATGTGTTGTACGTGAGAAATTTTTTTTATATTAATTACTTGAATTTCAAATATTTCATAGTTAAAATAGAAATTAGAAATTAACAATATGTTCAAAAATAAACTTAAATATTTATTATTCAATTATGACATCACGCATTTCTTTGAAAAGTTAGATCATTGACCCACCATTTATATAAGAAAATAGCATTGCTTTTGGATTAATTTTAAATTATGAAAAGTTATAGTCGGAGCCGGCTGTACATTGAAAATTAGGTTACGAGTTGGTCCATAATCCAACAAAACTCTAACAACCGAGTCTACGTTTTAGGTTATAAAAACCCTTGCCATGTCATTGGAGGGTTATGTGGCTATTGCCGACATGAGACTCTTAATCCATATTGGACACAACAAAAAGCTTATACTGAAATTGTCTTTAATGTTAGGTGATTGGAAAACAAAAAAAAAAGGTTTTTAGTTTCTCTCTCTCTCTCTCTCTCATTTTTATTTGCTCAACGGCTATGTGATTTAAAAATAAATAAAAATGTTTTTGGTTTCTGTATTTACATTATCTATATCAATTTCTCTCATTCTCTCTCTCTAATTATCGTTCTCCCTCAATCTCTCTCATTCTCCTTCTTGGTCAATCTCTCATTCTCCCTTAATTTCTATCGTTCTCCCTTAGTTTCTCTCCATTTCCCTCTCTCATTTTTATTTTTTTTTATTTTCTTACACGTTTATATGGTATTAATTAGATTGTATAAAAGAAAATTAGAACAACTTGGTATGGTTAAAAAATTATTACACCAATTTGATAAAAATTCACAAGAAACTCTTGGCTATGAAATTTACACCAACTAGAGAATGATAGAGATTGAGGGAGAATGAGATATTGATTGAGAGGGAGAGTGAGGGAGAAGAATCAAAAAAATTAAGGGAGAACAATAAAGAGAGAGGGAGAGTGTGTGTGTGTGAGGTTTTGATTTGGCTATAAACCGAAGCTGAGAGAGTGGGAAAGACAGAGGAAGGGTGAGATCAAGAAATGACTGTGAGAGTGAGAAAGAAGGGAGGGAGATTGAAAGACACAGGGAATGTGAGAGAAATTGAAAACCTATTTTAGATATAATTTTTTTTATTGTGTCCAACATGGAATAAGAGTCCCATGTTTGCAACAACCACATAAGCCTTTAATGACATGGCAAGGTTTTTATAATTTGAAATGTAGAGCCGATCGTTAGAGTTTTGTTGGTTTCTAGACCAACTTGCAACCTAATTTTAAATGTATAATCGACTTTGACTATAATTTTCCCTTTAAATTATATATTTCATTTATATTATATAAAATGTTTTTCATTTATCACACTTAATTTTTTTTTGTCTATGGTATCATTTTACTCAAATCACTAACCCACCATCTAAAAATAAAAATTGTTTCATTTCTAGGTTGACATTAAATTTTGTATTACATTTTCATCATTGATAAAATTATTTCTTATGTATAAAACTTATTTTTGTTCAATATAATGAATGTACAATATTATAGATGCACCCAATATTTTATTTTTTGTAAATATATAGCATTATATATGTGCCAAAAATTTTCTCTATTTTTTTTTATTTTTGTGATTCTTTGTATGTTCTATTATTAAAAATTTATTATTTGACTATGAAATCATTTAATTTCTTAGTAGATTTTGAATTTGGCATTCCATTTTCATCATTAATAAAAATATTTCTTACATTTCATAGTTATTTGTTTTAGTTTTTTATTATTTAATTATGACATTATTTATTAATCCATTTGACCCAAAATGGTCAAATTGCTTGCCCACCACCGAAAGGGAAGAAAATAGTTTTGTTTTCAAAATATTTATTTTTATACATTAAAATTAATATTATGGATTTAATTACAAGAATTTAATGATGAGAAAAATATATCTTAAATATATGATTTAATGACAGAGAATAGGAAAATATTTTTATTTCCAATTGGTTTTAAATTTTACATTCCATTTTCATAATTAATAAAAACATTTCTTATTTATCATACTTATTATTGTTTAATATGTATGCTAAAAATGTTCCCATTTTTTTAATTTCTATTTTTTTAATTTTTTTATATTTTTCAATTTTATTATTTAATCGTGGCAACATGGATTAACCCATTTGACCCAAAATGATTTAATTTCTTACCACCATTTAGATGAAAACACTATTTTTTCTATGTAGATTTTAAAAGTATATAAGCTTTTATGTTATTGGAATTATTAATTCATTAAGTATGGAATTATCTAATAGAACTTAATGATGAGAAGAAATAAAAAATGACTTAAATATATGATTCAATGAACATGAATGCAAGTTAATAACTTAAATATTGGATTTAATGAGAGAGAATTAAATGCATTGAATATCTTTAAATTACCTATTTTCAACTCATCATTTAATATCAAGAACCGGTTACCCTATTTGCCCTCATTTTTTATCATTAAATTTAAATATAGAGGGGTAAATATTGTCCTTAGAAAATTCCAGAAATATTCTTGAGGTCATACTTTTTAAAGTAGTATATATATATATATATATATATAGGAATATATAAGATCTAGAT